AGCGGTTTGAAAGAAAACAGATCAACCATGCAAGTACAATAGGGTCAATGTTAAGATTACGTAGTTTAAGAAATAGAAGTTCATGCGAGACTTTGTCAAAGGCTTTCGAAAAATCCAAATATATACAGTCTGCCTGAGATCCGTGATCGAGGATGTAATGAAGTTCATGCGTGAAACATATGAGTTGGGTTTCGCATGAAAATGACATTAGAGCAAGAGCTGGAGGCACCACAGACACGAAATCTGTGAACAAGTCGATTCCACTGTGAAGTGAAACCGGGCGGTCGGCCGGTCCAGAGGCGTGTAGCGTAGCGCTAGACGTGCAACATGAGCGCCATGCTCCGGGCCTAACTCCTCCACATGGTCGAAATGGCGCCACAAGTATCATTTAGCTTCGCCACTCTGAATGTTAGAGGCTTAGCTCCAAAGAAGAAGCAAAGCCAAGTGTATCGATTGCTGTTGGAACAAAATCTGGATGTACATGCAGTGCAGGAGACGAAAGTTGAAGGAGAGGAGGAGACTAGGAGCATGGTGCTTAAGTTTACATCACGGTATTTTGCGACTGTGAGCCATGCCATAGGTACATCTGGGCATGTGTTCTTTTTGTTATAAACCTTCCTGGATTAGTCATACAAAATGTACTTTCATGTTTGTCAGCCGAGTAGTATGGTGTGATATTGTTAATCGCGACACTGAATGGCGCCTTATCTTTGTTTACACTCCAAATATTGGCCAGAAGAAAGCTAGTCTTTTTTTCTTTTCAATTTACGACAACGTATGTGTAATGGTAGTAAACTCCTATCGGTGGGAGATTTCAACTGTGTCCTGAATGAAAGTGATAGATCAAGTAGTCGCAACGTTAATGACAAAGCCAGTGATGTCCTGGCACATGTGGTTATTGAATACGAATTAGTAGATGTAGCGGAGTGTCTGCATAGCTCCTGAGATGTGAAGTATACTAACTTTCAGGGTACAGGTAATGCCTGATTGGATCGACTTTACCTCACTGCGGGTGCGGTAGCCCAGTGTAGCAGTTATAACGTTGTCCCTGTTTCTTTTTCTGATCACTGTCTTTTAAAGTGCAATATCAGGTCAAAAAAAGAAAGGAACGCCTTTTCTTGGGAACAGTGGAAAATGCACTCTAACCTCTTAAGTGATAAGTCTTTTAGCGCATCAGTTATAAAAGAAATTAATAATATCAACATGAAGCGTATGGACAAAATAGAAGTATGGGAGATATTCAAGCAGCGAATAAACATGAAAGCAATAGAGGGATCTAGCGTTTTATCTCTTGAATCTGAAAACAAGGAGAAAGAGCTTAGACGGACACTTGAGAGGCTAACAGCTCTTGAATGTGAAAAACCTGGAGTATATTCCTACGATTTGCGGAGCATCAAACAGAGCATAGAGATATACGAGGAGGAACGCTATCGCGGAGCGCTAGTGCGAGCCAGAGTACCATCAATGAATGTGTATGATCACCCGACGAAGCGAGCGCTTGGATTAGAGAAGTGCCATGCCAGACTAATTCATATAGATGCCATCAAAGTCAAAGGTATCGAAGTTTCAGACCAAGAGAGCATAGGACAAACGTTTGCCAAACTCTACGAAGCACTCTTCGAGGCCACGCCCATTCAGGCCGAGGCATTTAAGCAAGAGTTCCTTAGCAGAATGCCCAAGATGTCATATGACATGAAATCAGCTTTAGAACTATCTATAACGCCAACGAAAGTAGAAAAGCCTATAGATAAATTAAATTTTGGGCCAGACAGTCTTTGTGCTTCGTTTTATAAGGAGCTTAAAAATAAATCATCCCAAGTACTCGAAGATGTCTTCAATCAGGCTTATAAACATGATGACCTACCTAGGTCCTTTAGTGAACTAATACAGTTTGGATACATAAGACAGAACACTCAGAGTAGTTAAAAATAGTTTCTTTGTTTAGACCTATATCACTAACTTATTGTGATTACAAAATTTTGGTGAAAGTACTAACACGGCGACTTCAAGGGGTAATCAAAGAATTGGTAGGGCCCCACCAAACATGCGGGATTATGGGAGGCTCCATTGTGATCAATATACACAAGATGCGCTGTGTGCTCCAGTGCTGGGATGCCAATCAAGGAGGGTGGAGGGGTAGCCATTGTACAGATTGATCTCGAGAAAGCTTTTGATTGTGTTTCCCACAACCTTCTGCTTGCCATTCTTGACCATGTCAACATTGGTTCTGTAATCATACATGGATTCAATTGGCGCCCAACGTGGGGTGTGAATGGAAGATGTCGACATAGGGGTCTTACGCTCTACTACAGCCAATTGAAGTCCACAGCCCGTTTCACACAGTTGGAATGGACATAATACTGCCATTCAAAACTTCAAGAGGTTACAAGTACATCATTGTAGCCATTTATTACCTCACTAAGTTCGTGGACGCAAAACCACTCCGGAACATAGAGGCCACAACCATCCAGAAGTTTGTCGAACGACGAATCATCTTGAAACACGGGTGCCCAGCCACAATTATCACAGACCGTGGTACTCAAATGATGGTGCGCTTTACTGAAGCATACTTCAAACATAGGCGCATCAGACATGCTGCAACTACCAAATATCACCCCGCAGCAATTAAACGGCTTGTGTGAAAGAGCCAATAAGGCAATCAAACAGATGACTACCGCCGGGGGAAAAAATGAACCGATGTCCTCCCTTATATTGTATCTGTTACAACGCCGGGTACCAAGACATGGTTCGCCAAGCTTCCTTTTTTCTGGTCTACGTAAGGAATCCGGTACTACCATGAGATGTTTTATACAGCCGCCGAGAGGTCGAAGAGCTTAACGAAGAATCAAAATATTTCACGATAGTGCGTGAACGACTACAAAAAGCCAGGGAGCTCGCAGCCCCGCACATCCAACTGGCTCAAGAGAAACAAAAGCGACACTTTGACAAGCACCACAAGGACGTTGTGTTTGAAAGAGGACAACTGGTGCTCCTCAAGACTGCAACGTCCGCTGTGAAAACAACTACATCGTACACCGTACCTCACAAGATAGTGAATAAACTGTCTCCCGTGAATTACGAGATTGAACTCGCGGACAACATGGGAAGTGACATTGTGCATGTTGAAAAATTAAGACCATATCTGAGCCCCGTTGCTCACATTGAGCAACCCGATGCTTCGGACTAAGGTGTACATGAGTGCCATGCAATGTAAATATTTGTTGGTGATTGTATATAGTCTTGTGTGCCTGAAAGTGGATAACCAATGTTTTGTTGACTTTTGTAAATAGTTACAGATAGGACTGTTTAAGTTAGTTTAGTTATGTCTGCCTTAGTGTTTTATGAATGAAGTCGGGACGACTAGTTTCTAAACCCAGGCATGTGACGAGCGATAGCAGACGACGCTCGGTGCGTGTCCTGCGCCTTTGCGCGAGGAAAACGAAGTAGATCGGCGCCGAGCTCGTGACGCTTGAGGAACGTCAAATAAGAAACTTGTCTGGCAGTCCGTTCCTGATCTTGAAAGAGTGTGGATGTCCTTCTTAGGCCACCTCGGAACCCAGTATATCCGACGGCCACAACAGCATGTCACAGAATATTTGTTTTCTGTTACTTGCAAACAGTTGTAAAAACATGTGAGTGATGTTGTTTTACATGAACCCCTGTACCGTGCCAAGTGCACTGGAGGTCAAGGGCAATATGTGCTTAAACGAGTAAAGAGAATCCACGTGGCTCCTGCCGCGAAGTGCTACTACGAAGTGCCCCTTAAGGGCTTATGACGACCTGCGCTCGTCAAGAGCAGTTGCCACTATTTTGCTTATGACGAGTTGTGGTCGTCATGAGTTTTCCGCAATGCTCCTACAGGCTTTTGACGAGCCCGGGTCGTCAAACGGGGATTTACGGAACCTGTGCTGCCATCTATGTTTAAGCACCGCAAGTTCCGTCATTGGCGGTGGTATTAAATTATAGTTTGCACACTAAATGGCGGAATGTGTGCGCTTGTTTCCCGCGCGTTTTACAAACATGGCCTCATGCGTGCGGCGTTCTGATGCGGAGAATCTTCCTTCTTCAGACGATGAAAGCGAGAGTGATAAGGATGCCACCGTAGTGTTTTATTCTTCAAGTGAAGAAGACAGTGATGACGTTTTTACGGACAGTGACTCTGAAGGAGAAGACAGTAGCGATGATACAATGGCTAGCTCCCGTGAATGGTTTCGCATAGACCTCGACAACATCCCAGCCAGACCTCCACGGTTTGATTTCAGGGGTTTCACGGGACTGAAGATCACAGTAAGCTCTCCCCCTCATCCACTTGAGCTCTTTGAAGCTTACTTTGATGATGAGCTGCTTGATGTTATCGTCGTGGAGACAAACCGGTACGCTTCTCAGCTTCTGAATTGTAGCAAGCTGGGACAACATTCTCGCTTCCGAAAATGGTATGCACTTACGCGAGAAGAACTTCGCGTTTCTCTGAGCCTCCTGTTGCTGCAAGGCATTGTGCAAAAACCAAATGAAAGGATGTACTGGTCTAGGAATCGGCTGGTTGAGACTCCGGTCTTTGGCGAGATAATGTCCAGAAACCGCTTCGAACTAATAATGAGAATGTTGCACTTTGTCGACAACACGACAATCGAAAATTGTGAAGGACACCCTCAACCTCATCTGAGGAAAATCTGGCCGGTTTATCAGGCACTTCTTGAAAAATACCGGACATTGTATGTGCCGGAGCGGGACGTCAGTGTCGACGAGAGCTTGCTGCTCTTCAAAGGCCGGCTCAGCTGGAAGCAGTATATGCCCCTGAAGAGAGCGAGGTTTGGCATAAAGTCATTTTTGCTGTGCGAATCTTTAAGTGGATATATATGGAACTCTGTATTTTATACAGGGAAAGAAACGAACATTGAGATCTCGTAAGAAGAAGCAGCAACCTTCGGAATGGCGACGAAAGTTGTTTTGAAGCTTCTGGAGCTTCTGCTAGACAAAGGCTACTGCGTCACAACTGACAACTTCTACACCTCACCAGAACTGGTTGACTTTCTTTTGAAGAGATCAACTGACATCTATGGCACGACGCGAGCCACTCGCAAAGACCTTCCGCCTGGTTTCGCCAAGGCAAAGCTCAAGAAAGGCGAGATGGTTGCCTTTCAAAGGGGCAAGTGCTTGGCTGTTCAGTGGATGGACAAAAAACTGGTGACGGTTCTATCTACAGTACATAGTGCTGAAATGGCGCGATTCATTGACAAAATGGGCAAAGAAACCCTGAAGCCAGAAGTTATACTTGATTATAACCATACAATGGGAGGAGTTGACAGAGCAGATCAGATGCTGGCGAGCTACTCAGTGCCACGGAAACGAAAAAAGATCTCCTACAAGAAGATCTTCCAACACCTCTTGGATGAGGCGACCTACAATTCATTCGTTCTGTACCAGAAAGGAGGAGGCCGAGCATCTCATCTGGAGTATAGGCTAAGGATTATTGATGAGATCATCATGAAGTACTCTCCCAACACCGGCACCAAGAAGAAAGGACGGCCAGGGCGCCCCCTGAACGCAAAACGGTTTGGTGAGCGCCACTTTCCATCGCACATACCACCAACAGAGAAGAAGCAAGAACCAACACGCCGCTGCGTAGTCTGCTACATGAAGCGAGATGTAAATGGCAAGAACATCCGCAAGGAAACCAGGACCTGGTGCAGGTGGTGCGAGAAGGCTCTCTGCGCAGTGCCGTGCTTTGAACGCTACCACACGGATGGTAGCCTCAACTAGCTTCAAGTGAACTATCAAGAAATTGTTTGTTTTCTGCAAGGCAATTCAAACCCGACCCGTGCTTTCTGGAGTTGCAGAAATTAATTTGTGAATACACCAGAAATGCCCCAAATATAGGGTATTATATGGGGTAAAGAATGACCAATTAAACATGATTATCGACTATAAACAATTTTCGCAAATATTTTTGTGTTTTGAACACGTTTCTGAAGCATATCACATCATTAAAAAATTTGGCCATATTGGTGCATAATATATTTGTTTAATGAGCCCTTAAGGGGTTAAGCTTCACAGAGGTACAGTATCAGGAAGGACATTTGAAACAGACCGTTGTTTTTACTCACAATGGGCGACAAATTGCCTTATCTGTGAAAAACTGGAAACTATAGACCATCTTTTATTACATTTTTGGGAGGGAGTATATTTTTAGGATGTACTTCAAAAGACGGTAAAGAATGAGTTACCTTTAAATTTTTATGGTGTAAGATATCTGCCAATAGTGGGCGAAGAAGGAATGCCTTTTTTATTTGATTATGCTATGTGACCTTCACTGCTTATGGTGGGCCCGTATGACGGGTTTTATTGCGATTAAGATGCACGGCCTCCACGAATGTATTTCCGGGAACGTATGACCAAGTTGGTTGAACTGCAGAAAACAAGATTGTACCGGAGTGGTTGTCGAGGGTATAACCCTTGGCAGCACTTACGGAATTTCAGTTTGTGTCGAACTGTTTGTTACTGCTTTTTTCTGTTGTGCTTGTGGTTTGATGTACGCACCTGTGAACAGACAATAAAGCAAAAATGGGTGTGGTATAATGGTTAGCTTACGCGACTGTTGATCTAAGGGTCATGAGTTCGAGTCCTGTGTCACCGTCATCATCAGCCTGACTACGTCTACTGCAGGACAAAGGCCTCTCCCATGTTTCGCCAGTCAACTCGGTCCTGTGCTTGGTGCTGCCAATTTATACCCGCACACTTCTTCATGTCATCTGCCCACCTAACCCTCTGTCTTCCTTTAACACGCTTGCCTTCTCCAGGAATCCAGTTAGTTTCCCTTAATGACCAGTGATTCTCCTGTCTACGTGCTACATGCCCGGCCCATGTCCATTTCCACTTCTTCATTTCAAGTATAATGTTCTTAATCGCGGTTTGCTCCCTAATCCACTCTGCTCTCTTTTTGTCTCTTAAGGTTACACCCAACATTTTCCTGTCCATTGCTCGCGTTGTCGTCCTCAATTTAAGCTGGACCATCTCGTAAGTCTCCAGGTGTCTGTTCTGTAGCTAAGTACCGGCAAGATGCAGCTGTTATATACCTTCTTCTTGAGGGATAGTGGCAATCTACCTGTCATGATTTGAGAGTGCTTGCCAAATGTGCTCCACCCCATTCTTATTCTTCTAGTTACTGCAGTCTCGTGGTACGGCTCCACGGTTATTACCTGTCCTAAGTAGACATAGTTTTTTTACAACTTCAAGTGCACTATTACCTATCTCGAAGCGCTTTTATCTTCCCAGGTTGTTGTACACTACTTTCGTTTTCTGCAGATTAACTTTAAGACGTACTTTTCTGCTCTCCTTGTCTAACTCCGTAATAATGAGTTGCAATTCGTCCCCTGAGTTGCTCAGCAATGCAATGTCATCGGCGAAGCGCAGGTTACAAAGGTAGTCTTCATTACCTCTAATGCCTAACTGTTTTCACTCTAGGCCTCTGAAAACCCCTGTAAGCACGCGGTAAATAGCATTGGGGACATCGTTTCCCCCTGCTTTACACCCTTCTTGATTGGTATTCTGTTGCTTTTTTTATGACGCACTACGGTAGCATTCGATCCCCTGTAGATTTCTTCCAGGATGTTTATATATGCTTCGTCGACGCCCTGATTACGCAGAATCTGCATGACGGCTGATATTTCTACTGAATCAGAGGCGTTCTCGTAATCTAGGAAGGCTATGTATAGTGATTGGCTATATTCTGAGCATTTCTCTATTACCTGAATGATAGTATCAATGTGGTCAATTGTTGAGTAGCCTGTTCGAAATTCTGCTTGTTCCTAGGTAGATTGAATTCTGATGTTTCCCTAATTATGTTAGCAATTACTTTTCTATATAGCTTGTATAGTACAGAGAGCAAGCCGATCGGCCTGTAATTCTTCAAGTCATTATCATCTTTTTTCTTGTGTATTAGGATGATGTTAGAATTCTTCCAAGATTCTGGTACTCTTCCTGCCAGGAGACACCTCGTAAACAGGGTCGCTAGTTTTTCTAACACAATCTGTCCGCCATCTTTCAGCAGATCTGATGTTACCTGATTCTCACCAGCAGCTTTGCCTCTGCATGCTTCCAAGGCTTTTCTGACTTCTATCATTACTGGTGGAGTGTCATCTGGGTTACTGCTACTTCTTACATTAAGGTCGTGGTTGTTCTGGCTACTGTACAGATCTCTGTAAAAATCCTCCGCTAATTTTACTATCCTATCCACATTTGCACTTATTTTGCCTTCCTTGTCCCTTAGTGCATGCATCTCGTTTTTGTTTATCCCAAGTTTTCTCTTCACTGCTTTGACGCTTACTCCGTTCTTCAGAGCGTGTTCAATCCTCTCCATCTTATACCTTCCTACATCGAATACCTTACACTTATTAATCAACTTCGAAAGCTCTACAAACTCTATCTTGTCTGTTGTACTGAGGCTTTCATGCTTTCACACTTCTTAATGAGATTATTCGTATCCTGAGACAGCAGATGCCAGTGTCTTGTCTAACTACAGTATCCTCCACCTTCCACTGCACACTTTGTACTGATACTCGTCAGATTATCATTCAATGCGTCAACGCTAAGGCTGATTCCCTGGATAAGAGCCGAGTACCTGTTCTGAAGTGAGACTCTGAATTCCTGTACTTTCTCTCTCAGTGCTAGCTCATTGATTGGCTTATCAGTTTATTTCGTTCCTTCTTCAAGTCTAGGTGAATTCAGGGCCGTACCATTCTATGGTCACTGCATCATACCTTGTCAAGCACTTTAACATCCTGCACGATGCCTGGGTGTGCACTTAGTATGAAGTCTATTTCATTCTTATTTTTGCCGTTAGGGCTCCTCCATGTCCATTTACGGTTCCCTCGCTTTCGGTAGAAGGTATTCAAAATCCGTAAATTGAGTTCTGCAAATTCTACTAGTAGTTCCCTTCTGGCATTTCTAATACCGACTGGCATAATGTCCTACTTCCAGGTGTCCGGCCTGTTTCTTCCCTACTTTTGCATTGAAGTCTCCCATCAGTATAGTGTACTGTGTTTTTACCCTACTCATTGCAGATTTCACGTCTTTATCGAAGCTTTCAACTGACGTGTCACCATGGCTGGACGTAGGCGCATAAGCCCGTACCACCTTCACCTGTACCTCTTATTGAGTTTAATTACGATACTAACTGTCCTTTCATTATAGCTCTAGTATTCCTCTATTTGTCCAGGTATGTTTCTGTGTATAAGGGACCGCACTCCCAGTTCTCTTCTGTCAGTCAAGCCCCGATAGCAAAGGACGTGCCCGTTCAGTTGCACTGTATAGGCCTTATCTGTCTTCCTAGCCTGACTGAGCCCCATTACATCCCATTTAATGCCCTCTAGCTCCTCGAATAGTATAGCTAGACTTGCCTCACTAGATAAGGTTCTAGCGTTAAACGTTGCAAAGTTCAGGTTCCAATGGCGGCCTTTCCGAATCAAGAGATTCTTAGCACTTTCTGCTGCATTGCAGATCTGGCCACCGCCATGGTCAGTTTCTTCGCAGCCGCTGGAGACTGAGGGCCGTCAGTTAATTGACGTATGCATGTAGGAGGTAGTGGCCAGATACTGTACCAGGGTGGCCAATTCTTCTCTGGTGAGAGAGTGCGTTACCGCCGGCGGTCACCGGTGAGGCCGCACCCCAGGCCTCTTGATGCAGTTCCGTCACCATGCGGACTTCTTAAAATCTGGTTGGAAACCGCGTGGCACCGGGATTCAAACCCCGGACCTCTTGCATGCGAGGCTGATATTCTAACAACTACGCCATTGCTGCAAATTCTGTGTATTTGTCGTTAATTTTCTGTAGTTTACATTTAAAGTTATTTCGTTTTATTGATGTCTTCAAATGCTTTCATCAACCTCCAATTTCTCCGTAATGAAGCATAAATTGTAAAAAATTGCTTTTTTTAGAAGGGGCAACTGATAGAACTAATAGTTTGTCCCTACGCAGTTACTTTCTCCCATGAAGGGGTAACTTTTAGTCCTTAACTATTCGTCCCTGAAAACTGCTGAGAACTGTGGCGACGCAAAGCGGTGCTTCTGCGTGCGGGGTAGAGAGTGCATGCGCCCGCACGAGAAAGTTATCTTCGAGACGAAGGGTGATAATAAAAGTCAGTTGTTGTTTGGGACGTGAGTTGTTCACTTGCGCAGCTCCGCCGAGCGCAGCGTCTCAGCAGGACTAAACACTTCGTCCCGTGACATTTACTTTCGAAAGGATGAATTGTTCATCCTTTCGGAAGTTGTGGTTGTGGCAACGCAGTTACCCCCCAAAAGGATGCGCCACAGACCCCTTTACGTAATTTGCGGCTTAGAGGGGGGGGGCACCCTGTATATATATAGTATGTGTTATATGCACGCGTATGTGTACACGTATATCGCGAGTGCGTGCACACGTGATTGTTGTGTTCCAAAGGAAAGAACAGAAATCAGCCTCGCCCCACGTTGGGCACCATTGGTGATCGCCCATACTATTGCGAGACACTCTTTCTTTGTGGTCGTGTAATTCACCTCGGTACAGGATAGTGAGCGGCTGGCATAGGCTATGACTCATTCTTGGCCGTGTTGATGCTGGACGAGCATTGTGCTGAGGTGGATGTCACTGGCGTCAGTATGCACCTCTGCGTCAGCAATATCGTCAAAATGAACAAGAACGGGTGCTGAGTGCATCCGCTGTCGTAGTTCGGCAAATGCAGCCTCTTGTTCGGTGTTACAAGCTGCCACTCAAGCGTCGCCAGCGCGAAGTCGGCGACGGGAATGACGGCAGGTTTGTTCGTTCCGCACGCAAGCAGAGACAGTGAAGAGATCAGAGACGTGAGAAAACAAAACAACTTTACTCTAGTGATATTGCAGCACACGGGATATAATACAACACTTCAATACAACTAACAAAGCACATCAACACTTGATGCAACTAAAAAATATATACAAAACAATAAATCGGCTTACGCGAGAGAACTATCACAAACTACACAAACTAACAA